GCTCCGTGCACACCGCGGGGATGAGTCGCCTCCCCGCCGCGCAGGGTGTCGTCTCACCGCCCTGGTGAACTGGAAGCAGAGACCGTGCAGGACCTCAGCCCTGTTTGCTGCAGCCAACACGGTGTTCTGGTAGGTATCATGACGCAGGGATATCGGACAGACGCCTATCTGGTAGCACTAAGCTCCAGAGGAAAAAAGTCTTTGTGACCGGGTGACCCCAAAACACGAGCCAGCAGCCTCTTATATATGACTCCAAACTGGTGACAATATTTCCCAAATCCTTGGGCTACTTCTTCAGTATCCCTATGACATGTATGTGATGTAAAATGGCATGCGACAATATGTGATATTTTAAAGATTATAAAGTCTTTATTGTACAATTTATTGTTCTTATTACTTTTCAATAATAAATATTGTACATTTTATTGTGTTTTTCTATACATGTTGTCAGAGAGCAAAATTATCCCTGTGATATTGAAGGGTTTGAATTTTTCCTAATAGCCCTATTAGAAAAAAATTCACAATAATAATCCATTATGGCTATAGCCAGGATTTCAGAAATACTGAGGTCATTAATAAACACAAAATATGATACAAAATAATAGTGTCTACAATGTTGCAAATGTTTGAATTAATTACTTTAATTTAATTTTTCAGTTGGTGCTTAAGTTTTATTTTTGGTACATTTTATTTCTGTGCTGTCAGGAACAGTATATTTAGTTGTATATATTTCGTTGTGTATATGTAATATATTTTAGCTATATTAGTGTAGGAATATATAATTCTTTATTTAATGTTAAAAGCATTCAGTTAAAATGTATTGTTAACATGAAGAGTATGTGACCAGTGCCCTCAGAGGTGTAATGACATTACAGTTGTCTAAATCCAATATATATTCAGTTTACTGTAACATAAGCCTGAAAAATGGCAAATCACAGAAGTATAAAATGCATAAAATACTTCTACTTCAGTGTTGTACTCAGATGCAGTACTTTAAATGTACTTAGCTCTTGTCACCACAGTAGTCCTCAGAGAGTGCAAACCTCCACCAAGGCAGATCAGTTTCCTCATATTGCCATTAAAAAACGTTGTGGATCAGGATGATGATCCCGATCACAACTAAAAGGTAATGGGTTGTTCTGTGGGCCATATCCTACCTCTCCAAAAAAAATGCATCAAAATCCCTTCATGACTTTTTGAGTTATGCTGTGAGCAAACCAACAAAATGACGGTAAAACATAACCTTCTTGGTGGAGATAAACATAGAAAAACAAATACTTGGCAGTTTGTCCAGTCTGTGAATTTTGGCCAATTTGAAATTCACTGAAAATGACCTGCTGTCACCTGTTTAAGTCCAAACACAGTGGTGTTTACGTCTGCCTAACACCACACACTGACACAACATGACACTGACTGTAGTGGATGGGGTGTGATGTGTGTTAAACTTGTGCAGGTTTGTGGCCCTCAGCTCGGTCCGAGCCTATGGCCTCCTGGCCATCCTGCTGGCTCTGCTGCTCATCACGGCGACAGCCAGAGACATTGCTCGGTCCAGAGCCTGTGATGACGGTGAGACCATGACTTTTCTGCTTACAGAGATGGTTACTCATCGTCCACTGACCTCCCATTTAGGCACAATCATTCTTAATACCAGCAATGTCTCTATAAGCAAAATCAAATTATGACACAATTTATTATTGTAATTTTCTATTATTTAAAGAAATGATAATCACTCCTTTTTTCTTTTTTAAGTCTGACTCGGCCTTTCTCTAGAAGGAGCACTGTGGCTCTGACCCTTGTACTTAGATATATTGGCCGATTGTGATGCTGCCAAGCCAGCAAGGTCTCAGCCTGAGACGCTTTTCTCTGCTGCCTTTGGTCCTCTGAGCTGATAGGATAGTCCTGGTAACACTCTCACCTACTACGCCCTCCTGTCCAAATACTTTAGGTCTGGAGCTTGTTTCCAAGATTTGGGCACTTAGAATCAGTGAAGAGAAAGCTCCATCTACAGTGTATATTCCAGACAATAGTGTGTTGTGCTGGTCCCTTACCTGGCCCAATAATAAGGCCCCTTTTATAAGCACACAGTGTAATGCTGTGTAGGCAGAGATAAAGACTTATTTATCATATTTGTCCTGAATTAGAGCATCTTTTATGAGGACAGTTTATATTACAGCAGAATCTTATATATTATTATTTATGATCTGTTTATTCAACAGCCTGCACTTCTGGGTGTCTACAGGAGGAGTTGTAGTTGTTAAGACACATTAATAAACACTGAGATCTGCTTACAGCTACATAAGTCTGTTTTAAACCATTTTAAAATCTGTATATACTCCTTGTTAAATGCTAAATAGGGAGGGTTAAAGAAGGTTAAAGAAAGGCTTATTATAATTTGACCCAGTGAAACTGAAGCACAAACCTACGGTGAGATGTTGAACGGAGCCACTGCAGTTGACAAATGACAAAGATGTGCACAAAGCTATTTATTTTACTTGTTATTATGTCTGTTTCTGATTACGTGTGCTACTCATGATGATGGGTAACAGATTTGTTCTTTTCTGCAGGAGCTCGCTTGTGGCGCAGGCTGACTGCAAGGTAGGAACCGAAGTATGTCTGATCTGGATCATTGTTCATGTGTGCGTTTGCTATTGGGCAGCGATTACAGATGGATGTCTATTTTTAAAAACCATTCTGAGAGGAAGAGCTGCTCTAAAAGTAGGGATGTTGCTATTTGTTAAAGGTATGTTGCTGAAGCTCGACTGGTTTTTGCTGCCGGGGATAACGTAGCTGATAATTTGATCTGTAAGTAATAAGAGTTATTTCTCCTAAATACACTGTAAAGTCTGCTTGCACACTTAACAGACCATATCATAAAATGTGTGGTCTATCAAGCTGAATGTGTTGGATAAACAGTACAGCATCCCATGTAAGTGCAGACTCCTTGACTTGCACTGGGCTGATGGGTCACACGTCACTGTCCATGTCAAAAGCCCTCAAGTTCTGTAGTGGTTTGAAAATAAATAACTGGAAATGTTGAGTCAAATTAACTCAAAAATAGCAAACGTAAACTTAGTCAAACGGGCTGCATTTGTCACAGGCCGGCTCACAGCTCCTGAGAAAAAGGGAACACCAGGCAGGTTTTAAGACCAATCACTTTTAAGACACCTGCAGAAAGTGGAGGGGTTCTAGCACATCACTGTCACACATATAGAGCATGACCGTGGTCTTTAATAGTGGAAACATCAGTTTGTTGTGCTAATAAACATGGACCAACATCATGTGACTGTGGAATGTCTTGTGTATGTGTGGCACTGGATCAGCAGGATGACCGTGCTGCCGTCTGTCCCCACAACAAATATAAAATGTCTTATGAGTTGTGAAACCTGAGCACACTGCATGCATGATCACTGTATGCATGTGTGTGTGTGTGTGTGTGTGACTCAGCTGTTTCTCCACTGTTGGTCAGTTCCGGCAGCGGCAAGAGGTGTGTCTGACATGAAGCTGTTGAACCAGTCAGATCACTTGACAAATACAGGGCGTGCTTCAGAGCGAGCCCACCAGCTGGTCTTGTGGTCGACTGGTGGAAAACAACACAACAAATCAGTCGTCAGTTTCAACACACAGTGATGCGATGAAGTCAAATATAAACAAGCATCATAGCATCAGAAGCTTTTCCATCATGAAATCACACATCACTTTCAGACACCACTCACAGTTTTTTTATTGCATTTGCTTGCTCTATTACAAATTTGACTCCCGAAGAAAGTATTTATTTAAATAGTTTTGACATGAACTCTCCTCACAGACACCCAATAGTTTTGTAAAAGTATTTAAATAAGACACAGCCTTCAAGCACCAACAAACTAATGTAAATAAGTGGCTACAAAAGCAGCTTATTGGTTTTGATGAATATAAATTTGATTAATGATAATGTTGGGCAGTACAGCAAATAAAATCCGATTTAGTGCTGGACCTTTTTGGCTATTTTTGTCAGAGTCTTTACAGGCTTTGAATCTGAAGGATTTCTCTCCCCTGAGGCAAATCAGTCAGTCAAATACATCTTCGGTCTTACTGATAAATAATTAAAAGGGCACAAGAAATGTGAACAGTAAACCCAATTTGAAAACAATGAGACTATGTAGACAACAAATGTCTGAAAAAGATGAAATGTAATAAACATAACACAATAAAAACCAATAAAATAGATTCATACTAAATAAAAGCCAAAGTCAAAACTTGAAAAGCAGTGAAATTTATTTAAATAAAACTAAACTGGATAAAACAGGCGATGACAAATAGAACACTGGAATAAAACATCACAGAACATGAACACAAAGCATTATGACTCACTCTTAATGGGCATTAAACACATGCCAGCAGAAAGTGCAGCTTCTCAGGTTCTGATAAAGTCCTACATTCACTGACAACTGAAATAAAGTGTTAGTTAGTTTTTAGGTTAGAAGATTTACTGTATATATAAACTGGCAGCTTCTGGCTGACGTACGTAGCTGAGTTATGGTAAAACCCAGTTTCAAATCAGTTTATCTTCCTTTTGTACCCCAGCATCTTTACGTACCTGTGTACTGAATGTTATGTTTACTGTGAAACTGGCTACAAACCATCTGTGCAGCACCTCTGAACTACACCTTGAGCAAATACCAAGAAGGTACAGTATGTGTATATTCACATCTACCTGATACACCATCATCATGTGAACACCCGCCCACGTGTATTCTTTGTTTGTAACTGAGGTCTTTTTTTTTTTTTTTTTTACCTGAAGCTGACACCTGTCAGGAACAGTTTTGACCTGCTCCTAACACGAAACAAAAGGGTTCAAATATTTTATAAAATAAAGTTTTATTTTTTCTATTCAGGTGCAGTGAGCCTCGTTTGTGGGGACGCATTGCTGCACTGGCTTTTTCACTTTTTTAAAGTGAAGGCCTGATAAAATTGATTGGTTGGAGATTGATATAATTAGTCAAATAGGATAAATCAGGATTAGTGCTGTGACATATGAGATCAACTTCATATCAAAATAATTTGTCACATTTTCATTAATGTTGATACATATATAATATTGTAATTCCTTCCTTTTCCTGGTTCATTCATTTAAAACTGTTCTTACTGAGTTTCTGGCCAGCAGGAGGTTGATACCACTCTGATGTCCTTAGGCTAAATATGAAGTTAACGCTAAGTAGTCAGATACGTCACCTCCTCTGTAAAATGGTGAATTGTTGTTTTAACACTGGATTTTGTACAGAGTGAAGGAATGAGATAATGTGAGTTGTAGAAGTGCTGGTTGGTGGATTTAGTTTGGTAAAAGCCAGTCTGGCTGTTCCCCCGTTTCCAGTCTTCATTCTAAGTCGTAGTTGGACCGATACCAAAATGTCAAACCTTTGCTACAAATAAACAACTAGTGTTTAAGAAACAACATATAAACAACACTGAGACACACGTGTTCGCACTCATGCTTTTTCTACCTCCCTTAACCACATCCCTTCATCCTCCTGATGCCTACAAGTTGGAATGTAGTGTGACCGGGCTATTTTTAGATGAGACCACTAGAAATACTTCAGCCAGGGCTTCACTGAGGATAAACACATGCTGCTCTCGCACTGTGTGGCACACAAAGGCTGAGTTTGCCCCGACCCTGACTGTGTGCCCGTCTTTCTTACTGCTGCAAACGACAAGTTCCAGCTGTCGCATCATCTTGAACATCCGGTGTTTGGTTGCCTTAGTGTTGTTGAATCTCCTGTAGGAGCTCTTGAGATGTCTCCCGAAGATCACAGGCCAGGACTGAGGTATGACTGGAGCCGTGTGTGTGTTCTGGAGAAGATAATTAATGAGCAATGGGTCAGTTCACCCAACTCGTATAACAACATGTTCTTCCTCTGTTTAGCCATGTGGACAGTTTGATGTGTTTGTTGGCACTGAGATTCCTTCCATCTGAAAAAGTAGAAGTGAATGGAAATTTATATTTTGTGCTTAAAGAACTGAACAGTTTGAAAAAAGCAATAACATGTATTTCCAGAACCAATGTCCAAACTACCCATGCTTATTTTAACCAAAGAAGTAGCTCTGAAGAGAGAACTTTGTGATTTGGGTAAACTGAACCTTTAAGGCTTTGACTTTGCAAACAAGCAAAGTTTATTTATATAGCACCTTTCTAAACCTGCGTTACAAGGTGCTTTTCAGTAAAACATAAACAAATAATAATAATAATAATAAAGATACCTAAGACCAGATAAAACACATCTACAGTGCCTTGCGAAAGTATTCGGCCCCCTTGAACTTTGCGACCTTTTGCCACATTTCAGGCTTCAAACATAAAGATATAAAACTGTAATTTTTTGTGAAGAATCAACAACAAGTGGGACACAATCATGAAGTGGAACGAAATTTATTGGATATTTCAAACTTTTTTAACAAATAAAAAAACTGAAAAATTGGGCGTGCAAAATTATTCAACCCCCTTAAGTTAATACGTTGTAGCGCCACCTTTTGCTGCGATTACAGCTGTAAGTCACTTGGGGTATGTCTCTATCAGTTTTGCACATCGAGAGACTGAAATTTTTGCCCATGCCTCCTTGCAAAACAGCTCGAGCTCAGTGAGGTTGGATGGAGAGCGTTTGTGAACAGCAGTTGTCAGTTCTTTCCACAGATTCTCGATTGGATTCAGGTCTGGACTTTGACTTGGCCATTCTAACACCTAGATATGTTTATTTGTGAACCATTCCATTGTAGATTTTGCTTTATGTTTTGGATCATTGTCTTGTTGGAAGACAAATCTCCATCCCAGTCTCAGGTCTTTTGCAGACTCCATCAGGTTTCCTTCCAGAATGGTCCTGTATTTGGCTCCATCCATCTTCCCATCAATTTTAACCATCTTCCCTGTCCCTGCTGAAGAAAAGCAGGCCCAAAACATGATGCTGCCACCACCATGTTTGACAGTGGGGATGGTGTGTTCAGGGTGATGAGCTGTGTTGCTTTTACGCCAAACATAACGTTTTGCATTGTTGCCAAAAAGTTCGATTTTGGTTTCATCTGACCAGAGCACCTTCTTCCACATGTTTGGTGTGTCTCCCAGGTGGCTTGTGGCAAACTTTAAACGACACTTTTTATGGATATCTTTAAGAAATGGCTTTCTTCTTGCCACTCTTCCATAAAGGCCAGATTTGTGCAGTATACGACTGATTGTTGTCCTATGGACAGAGTCTCCCACCTCAGCTGTAGATCTCTGCAGTTCATCCAGAGTGATCATGGGCCTCTTGGCTGCATCTCTGATCAGTCTTCTCCTTGTATGAGCTGAAAGTTTAGAGGGACGGCCAGGTCTTGGTAGATTTGCAGTGGTCTGATACTCCTTCCATTTCAATATTATCGCTTGCACAGTGCTCCTTGGGATGTTTAAAGCTTGGGAAATCTTTTTGTATCCAAATCCGGCTTTAAACTTCTCCACAACAGTATCTCGGACCTGCCTGGTGTGTTCCTTGTTCTTCATGATGCTCTCTGCGCTTTAAACAGACCTCTGAGACTATCACAGTGCAGGTGCATTTATACGGAGACTTGATTACACACAGGTGGATTCTATTTATCAT